CTTTTGTCTCCACAATAATAAAACAGCTCCTCACTGAATGGCGTGAACCCACATTAAGATGATTTCGCTTCATCCTCAGGACATCTTTGCAATCTGGGTTCCTATTCACCTCTATTTTACCAAAGAGAAAACTGAGACCTGCTCTCTTTGCTCAGATGCTCTACAAACACCTGTGCTCTTACCTACAACCCCATGTGCATTTGGGAGTTTATATTTGGGAATTATTCAATAATAAGACAAATGACCCAATACCAAATGGCAAAGGGTCTGAACAGACACTTCACTGAAAATTATAAATGAATGGTCGATGTGTGCGTTAGTCATTAGGAAAGCGCACATCGGGACTACAAGACACAGCACTACATAGCCACAGAACGTCTAAAGCAAAATAAGTGGACAGTACCAAAGGGGATGCCAACGCAGAGCAACAGGGCGTCTCGGACATGTCGCTGGAGGTGCCAGTGTAGCCAGTTGGAGAGATATTTGGGAGCATCTCCTGAAGATACACACGCATCTACTAATGTCCCAGATATCTCACCTGTAGACTATTTATCCCAAAGAAATGTGAATGTAAGTCCACATAAAGCCTTGCATGAAAATCTTCAGAAAAACTGTATTATTCATTAGCCAGGCCTGGAAACAACTCAAAAGTTCATCCCCTGGGAGCCGATAAACGAACATCTGAAGGCCACTTTGGAATATTACTCAGACACAAAAAGGAAGGGATTCCAGACACATATGACCATATGGGGGAATCTCAAAAGCATTCTGCCAAATGGAAGAAGTCAGAAAGGAAAGAGCACCAGCACGATTCCATTTACACAACACTGTGGGGTGCTGGAGAATGAACTCAGGGCCTTTGCACTGAGCTGCATCCCCAGCCCACTTTTTTATTTGGAGTCATGGTCTTGTGAAATTGCTCGGGGCTGAGCTGAAACTTGGGATCTTCCCGCTTCAGCTTCCCAGAGTACGGAGATTACAGGCACATAACACCAGGCCCAGCTCATTTGCATAATTCTTAAAAATGCAAAACCAAGACCAGGGATTTAGCTCACTGGTTCTGCTGCCTGCCTCACAAGCACAAGGACCCGAGTTTGATCCCCAGTACCAAAAACAAAACAAAACAAAAAAACAAAACCAAAACCCTAACCACAGAAAGCAGGTCACTGATTGCTCGGGACAGGAGTGAGGTGAGAAACTGACTACGTTGATTGCGATCTGAGTATCTTGTGGTGGTTTCATGACGGGACCACTGGGAGTTTTACTCTGTACGAATTTCACCCTGCAGAGGGGGTTAAATATTTTTAGAAGGGCCGATCATAGCAGAAACACAAAAGCTGAGGTGCACTGCTTCGCTTTCATCTGCTGTTCACCTGGGATGTGGCCTTAGTCTCAGGACACCAGCCGGAGGCCCCCAGGGCCTGGGCAGGAAGCGCTGTGGCTGCCCAAGGTCGGTGTCCAGCCCAGGGCTGCGTCCAGAACTCCTACAGCCAGACAGTGGAGGCGGCTGGGAATCTGGAGCTTGACAGCACAGTTCATGGCTTGTGGGGTTTGGAAAGTGGACTTTGCTGCTCAGAGCCTCGACTACGGAACGTGGCTAGCACCACCCTCCCGGGGGTTCTGGGATTGGGTTGGATTGATCTAAACCCTGCCGCTTCCTGGAGGTATGACTGTAGATAAAACATCTGATCCTCTGAGCCTCAGTTTTCCCACCCACTTGAAACAGAAGGTTTAGAATGGCACATGTCTTATGACTGTTATTAAGCTCAAAGGGGATCATGCACATAACAACCCCCAGCCCCAGCACCCAGCACACAATAATCTTTCCCTTGTGCTAGCTAAGATGCTGAAGGCACAGAGCAGGAGTCAGAGGGACTGGGGGCTTCCTTGCTCTCTTGGTAGATCTGCCAGGCTGTTGCCAGTTTGGCTCTGAAGAACTAACTGAGAAGGGGTGCCAGGAATCTGCTACCACCGAGTTGTTTTCATTCCCATCTTGCAGAACAAATCGCAGACCACACGGATGGACGCTGCATCTGGATGGCAGAGGAATTTACAAACTGGAGTCTTCCGAATCACAGGAAAGAGCGGCCTGGTTAATTGGAGTGGGACTCTGGTCTCCAGCTAGACTTCTGCTCATAACTGGGCCATTCATTCATCACTGAGATGTTTCTAGGCTGTGGGGCAGGTGGAAGGACAGAGGGAAGCCTGCTTCTGGCTTCTGAAGGCAGGGGAGCGCCTTGCCTTTCACCCCCGGCCAGTGCTATGGAGGGGCCAAGAGAGCCAAGTGCCCCAGCAGCGAGCCTTGGGTATGGGCCCCGAGCTGGAGGGCCCTGTAAGCCCAGGACTGGCTGCGAGTTCTGGGTAATTTCCCAAGTGGGAACAGGGATGCTCAGGGCTCCTGCTCTCCAGGGGAGCAGGGAGAGGAACTGGGGGCCGAGCCTGTCGCTAAGACAGCCGAGCTGCCTTCAGACTCAGCGGGAAGACCCAGGTGAGTTTTCGTCAGAGCTGAGCCTGGCAGCTTCGGCTTAGAGCTCGGGGAGGCTGCTGGCGCAGCAGCCAGGGAAGCACATCAAACTGCGCCCCACACCTGTGACATGGGCTCACAGATGACACTTCCCAAGGCCCCTTCCGGTGCACACACCTTATTTTTAAACTTTAAAGTCAGGTGAGTTTTCGTCAGAGCTGAGCCTGGCAGCTTCGGCTTAGAGCTCGGGGAGGCTGCTGGCCCAGAAGCCAGGGAAGCACATCAAACTGTGTCCCACACCTGTGACATGGCTCACAGATGACACTTCCCAAGGCCCCTTCCGGTGCACACACCTTATTTTTAAACTTTAAAATCATTCTGAAGAAAACTGGGAAGACGAGTTATTTTTCTTATGCGGATGAAACAGAGGTGGGGAACCCAATTCTGTGCAGATAAAATCAGAACAAACTGCCAGGAAACTCACAGCTGCCTATGAAATTAAGCCTAATGGGACCTAAAAGTGAAGAGTCCCTCCCTGCCCTCAAGGAAGATTATAAATTAGTAGGCTGGGGGGCAGTGAGTCCCTTGGAAAAAGCACTCCAGGAAGCAGAGTGGTATGGCTCAAAAAGCCTGGAGGCCTCTGGAGCAACTAGAGAAGAAAATAGGGGGAAAAGTGGTAAAGAAGAGGATGAAGGCGTACAGGCCAAAGGAAGAACAAGTGTGAAGGCTAAAGGGAACAGAGGGCTGTCTGGTTACTTTTCTCAGTGCTGAGACAAAATGCCCAACACCCTCAAGTTAAGGGAGGAAAGGTTTTATTTCAGTTTGCCTGTAGAGGCTTCAGTCCATAATCAGCTGGCTCCAAGGCACAGTGACATGACAGAGGGGTACGGCCGAGGAGAAACAGTTCCTCACAGGCAGAAGGCAGCAAAAGCAAGCAAGCCACAAGAGACAATAGCAGCTTCTTTATGCCCCCTCTGTATTCTGTCTAGGCTACCCGGCTCTGGCAGGCGCCAACCCAGCCAGGGGACTGATTCAGTACTCACACACCCTTAATGCCAGCATCTGAAAAAGCCCTACCTATGACCACATGAGGCTTTGGTGGACATCTGGACACAAGCCATAACAGGGGTGCAGAGGGGAGAGACCTGGGAGAGTTCTAGCTGGATTCTCCAACCATTCCATACCTTCCTGCCATTGCCTAGTTGAGCGGGGTGGGGGGGACAACAAAAAACAAAAAAAACTTTCACTTTGGATTTTTGTTTTTGGTATTTCTGGGAATTGAATCCAGGGGTGCTCTTCCCTTGAGCTACATCCCCAGCTCTTTTTTATTTTCTAGTTTTGAATCAGGCTGTCACTAGTTACCCAAGTGGGACTCGCAATTCTCCTGCCTCAGCCTCCCTGAGTGCATGCGGCATTGTGTCCAGCTCACACTTTGTTTTTTATCAGAGAAGTCACACAAAGAAGGAATAAAGATTTTGCTTTCATTTGTGTGACTTTTTCTGAGGTCTACTTTGCCAAGGGCCCCAGGTGGAGCCCTCGGCCACCCCTAGCACTTCACAGCTCGGGACACCAAGGTGGGGTGCAGGAAGCAGGATTCTCCACAGTGGGATCCTTCATGGAAGATTTTCAGGGACGCCTTACAGGGGCTCGGGCTGTGAGCAGAGTTAAGGCTCAAGGCTGCCTGTGGACCAATCGGACCTCGGGCTGTGAGCAGAGTTAAGGCTCAAGGCTGCCTGTGGACCAATCGGACCACTGCATCCTCACAGGAAACCCAAGAAAGGACTAATAATACACATGGGAAGGGCCTTATAATCCAAATCTAAACACAAACAGCCCATACCGACTGTTCCTATCCTACACCAATTCATGATATGGCCAGGAACGGGCAAGTGTCAGGTGACAACCTGCTTGGCAATCTCACGTTAATCTCTGTAGGTTCAGAGCTGCAGGTGTTTGAAAGCACGTGGGACCTCAGGAGACTCAATTATCCCTACAGGGGTCCCGGTGAGACCTCATTTTGGTGGGGACCAGGGCAAGTTCCTGAAAAACGGAAAGTGATCCATCAACACCGCGCTCCCAGAGAAATTAAGTGCCGGCCCCTGCGTGCTCTGCTGAGGTTGCCAGGCTAGCGGGGGAAATACGGAGCAAAGGTACATTAAATGTAAGCAAATTCAGCAGATGAAGAGGGCAATAACACAGAGGTTGTATCCGGGAGGGGCAGGATTCCAGCTGTGAGGCTGGCTGGATGCAGCAGGGGCAAGAAGTGGGGGCCCCTGGGGAACAGGAGGTGGTGGGAGCTGTGCTCTGGGGGACAAAGCCTGACGCATGCGCTCCCTGTGCTTCTGACGGCCCGGTGGGCAGGCAGCTTGAACCCTGAATTTCAGGAGCGTTGTGTGTGAGGTGGGGATGGAAACAGTCAACACTGCCTGCTCGTGCGTGGGTCGAGCGAGAGCACGGTATGAATCGCAAATGCCCAGCGCGTCGCTCGGGTATCTGGGTGTATCCTTAAAGGATTTTCAGGGGGAAAAGTTCTTACCAGGCAAACCAAGTCTGCGAAAGGAGACACCCGGGCACGCCCCACAGTGAGGCAGACAGCTTTGGGAGGGAGGCCTGGGTGTCCAGGAAAGGATGCGAGACCAGCTGAGAGGACAGTAAAGGACCCTGGCACCTTGGGAGGCCGTAGGTCAGGGGCAGGAAGAGTTCAGGGCCATTCTGCGTCCATTCTCCTAGAAAGAGGAAAAAAAACAAACCATAGAAGAGCCCTGGGAGGAAGGAAGCGAGACTCGGGTGAGGAGCCAGTGGGGCAGGGGCTGCGTGGTGGGACCCAGGCTGAGAGCCCCAGGCGGAGAAATCCAGCTGCTGTCAGAGATAGGCTGCAGCCAGACTGGGCACAGGGACTAAGCAGAGGCCTGTGCTCACAGTTTCCCGAGGCTTTGATGAATTCACATGCTGGTCTTCAGGGTTCCAAATGGAAGGCAAGTGGTGATGACTTAGCTGAAACCTAGGTTGTAACAGTGGAATATTCCAAGAGAGGGATAAGATAAAGTGCTTCCCTTTTTCAGGGACAGAAAGCTCAGAAGCTATTAAAAACTTTCCCCTAAAGATCCTCTATTAAAAGAAAAATGTAAGGTTAGCCAAACACGGTAGAATGCACCTGCAGCTGCAGCACTCAGGAGGCTGAGACAGGAGGATAGCTCTGAGTTCGAGGCCAGCTTAGGCTACATAGTCAGTTCAAGGCCAGCCTGAACTACTTAGGGAGACCTTATCTAAAAGAACAAACAAGCAAATAAAACTAAGTATGGTGATATACACCTGTAACTTCAGAACTCCGGGAGGCTGAGGTAGGAGAATTGCAAAATTGAACAGCTTGAGCAATTGAGCAACTAAGCAAGACCTTGTTTCAAAATAAGAAAATAGAAGAAAGAAAACAGACTGGGGATGTGGCTCAGTGTGAAGGCGCTGGGTTCAATTCTAAGTAATGCAATAGACAAGTAAACGAGCACATTTAAAAAAAATTTTTTTTTTTTGGATTTTTGAGACAGGGTCTCACTATGTAGTTGAGACTGAACTGGAACTTGCTATGTAGCCCAGTCTGGTCTCGAACTCACAGAGATCCGCCTGCCTCAGCCTCCTGAGTGTTGGGATTACAGGCGTGCGCCACCACACCCGGCAACAAAACTTTTTAACGGTCAAAACACCATAAGTGAAGTACAGAGAAACAACAGACCTGGTAAAGTATGCGTCAAGCAGAAGAGGTGGTAGTGTGTGCTGCAGAAAGCATTCTCACTTGAGGACTAGAACGGCACATGACAAAGACTATTCACAGGCCATTCAGAGAGAAGCAAATTGAAAGAGCCGGTAGACAGAAGACATCACGGGCACTGACTGTGTAGTTGTCAGGGAAATGTAAATTAAGTTAGCAGTAAGCTTTCTCTTTCCCTTATCAAGCAAGCAGGGAGAGCAGAAAGAGGAGGGAGGGACATCAGGAGACAGGGAAAGGAAGCCTCCTGCGCTGCCTGAGACACAGGAGTTGTTAAATCTCCCAGGAAAGTAACCTGGCGGCATCTGTTAGATCAGATCACACAAACCCATGAGCCCTGCCTCACGCTCTACCCACCCTGGCCTTACAAGTCCCTGAATATGAGGACGAGGAGACAAAGTACATGGCCATACAAAGGAAACGGCCTATGAACTAGCCCATAGGGGTACCAGGAAGCCATGGACAAGAATGAATAGGGAGCACCCCACACTTTGGGAAACTTGTACAGTGAGCAGGCAAGCCAGGATATGATCCCAGTGGGTAGCAACTCGAAAAACCTACCGCTTACCTGTATGCACATCTGCATGCACACAGATGTGTCGAATGTATGTGGAACTGTTTGTACAGTTACAGCCACATAAGGAATTCTGTAGAAGGGGGATCTGAGGTTTCCAGAGACTGGGACAAAGGGAACCGGAGCTGATTTGGGGGAAGCAATCTAAACGAAACACTGTCATATAAGCCCAGCATGCTGGGTATGACCTCAGTCATGCGAGTGACTGCGTGTGTGTGTGTGTGTGTGTGTGTGTGTGTGTGTGTGTCTAAATTACAGCCAACTTATATATTTTCAAGAGAAAGAAGGAAAATTGCTGAGATATAGCATAGCATGAAAAATATCCAATACCGCCAAAGACTTCAATGTGGACGCGTGGGTTTCAAGCGCTGCCCTCCAGAATCCAGAAGGCCCAGCTAGCTTCAGCTGTTGTCAGTTGTCAGCTTCTCCAAATTATCAAAACCAAGTCTTGGGCGTCTGGGCAAAGGCCATATGTGTCCAGAGGCAGGAGGAGAGGTGGCGAAGTTGGTAATAAATCCAGAAGGATATTTCACTACTCAATTTAAATCTATGTGCTCTAGCACTGTTTTTAGGAAGTAGGAGACATACTAAAACCTAGGCCAGATTTCCTCATTCACAGAGGTCCCCGATGTGGAAATTTAGTTAGCTCTTGAGTGAGGTAAGGAGCAGCGGGAAGGGCCTGAGGCTGAGTTGGGTGACCAGCCAAATGGACACCAATTAAAATAAAAATAGTCGGTGGACTTAGATCAACAAAGACTGAACTTCCTCAGGCTACCCGGGGTGCAGTCCCCTCCCTCCTAAAGGGAGCTGCAGCCTCTCCCTGCTAAGCTCCTGAGCACCCAGGAGTTTGAAATGCAAAATAATCAGTTTTTCTCTAAAACCTCACTTTCCTTAAAACCCTACCTATTGAAAAACTGGGCTGGAGAGGCTGAGTTTGAACTGGTCATTTTTTAAAATCCACAACCGCCTGTGATAGGTGAACACTAAACAGTAGGTCCATTCCTGTACTCTGCTTATCTGTAATTCACTCTGGATCCAGCAGCCCTGCGGCCACCCACTCGGGACACCTCCCGGAAACCCAGGAACTGTTCTTCTTCTTTCCAGTAAAAACTCTCCTAACCTGCTCCCTTGGTTTGCGACTTCATGCCTGTATGTGTGCAGAGCCACGAGCTCAGTACACAGGGTAACACAGTTTCTTTATTCTTCCCTACCACTCTCTGCTCTCAGAACTGACCAAGGTGAAGCCAGAACGGTGCCTTCCCCTTCCCCATACCGAAACCAAGTCACCGGAGACGAGGAAGGAGACGGGAGCACATGCTTTCTTTTCGGCCACACATCCCTGCCCATTCATCCTAGACTCCTGAACACCACTGGTGAGACACAGACCCTGTCTCCGGAGGGTCAAATATTCATCAGTTTTGGGAAGGGGGAAGAGGGTGTGAACCAATACAGATGGAAAGCTTTCTGCACGCAAGGATGGTCACAGGCCACAGCTCCGCGAGACCTAGGAATCCCATCTTGGTAGGGTTGGGCTCGATAATGTTACAGCACCCGCTTCTGTGAAATCTATTTCGGTTCTACATGTGAAGGCCAAGATGGTGAACAGGGGCGGCCGTTCTGAGGATACAACTGACTCTTGGGAGCAGTGAACCCACGCACAGCAGGTGGGAAGTGGGACTTCCCACAAATATGAAGCGTCCTGATCCTATTTCCATGTCCTCTTCCTCCCCTTTGGGCTGGGGCACTGCAGACCCCAACCCTACCCAAACTGAGGGGGTCCTGGTACTCAGCTCCAGCCCAACGTCCACCTGTAAGACCATGGAAAACTTTTCAAAAGTCCATTGAGAGCCCAACATCACCCAAAGGGTCTGCTTTTTCAAGAGAACATTAGAATGGAAAACTTCAAGTACAATGTATAGATTTTTTTTTTTAGTACTGCGGTTCCTCCCCTTTGGGCTGGGGCACTGCAGACCCCAACCCTACCCAAACTGAGGGGGTCCTGGTACTCAGCTCCAGCCCAACGTCCACCTGTAAGACCATGGAAAACTTTTCAAAAGTCCATTGAGAGCCCAACATCACCCAAAGGGTCTGCTTTTTCAAGAGAACATTAGAATGGAAAACTTCAAGTACAATGTATAGATTTTTTTTTTTCCAGTACTGAGGATTGAACCCAGGGCCTTCACACTGAGATACATTTCCAACCCTTTTTAAATTTTTTTATTTTGGGATAGGGCCTTGCTAAAGTTGCCCAGGCTGGGCTTGAATTTGTGATCCTCCTGCCTCAGCCTCTAGAAATCCAGCCTGGGTGAAAAGACCTGGGTTCGAGACATCTTGTTGCCCTCAGCAGCTGCTAGACCCTGTAATAGTTCCCGGCCTTTGTTTCCTAATCAGTAAAATGAGTCAGAAATACCCGCCTGAGAGGATGGCCAAGAGGGGTTTAAAAGATAAACTGCGTAATTAAAATATTTCCTAAATATTTGTCCCATTCCTGCTCAGAGACAGATGTGATGCTCGGCAAAGCATATAGACTATAAACAAGCAGAGAGACGCTGCTGCTTGACAAACAGTTGCTTCACTTTATAAAGGATTTCCCATCACAGGCCTCTCTCGTGGATGAAGAATACGATGATTTCTCTAGTTTTAATTTACATACGACTTTTACTTCCTTGTAAAAATAAACCTGTATTCTGCCTTTTCCGTATCAAAGCATCCTCAGCTTCTCTGCAGGGCTATCACTGTTGGAGGGGGAGTTGCCTGATGTGTAACAAAGAATGATTTTATGGGAGCTGCCTAGCAGATTCGTCTTCAATGCCCGCTGCACCTCCTGTCGGCTGCTACTAGGAGAGAGTCCTGGGCCGGGGATTGAGTTCAGTGGTTCTGCCTCCTGCCTTGCAAGTGCAAAGTTCCAAGTGCGATCCCAGGTACAGAGAGAGAGAGAGGGTGCGGGGAGTGTGCTGCTTGACTGGCAAGCATGGAGCAGGCTGTGGAGTTGCAAGCTGGCCCAGGGCGCCCTGCGTAGAGGGGGATCTGCAACCACACACAGAGGCCTCGGCTGGAGTTTGGAGAATCTCGGGAGTAAGGCAAGTTATGTCACAGCCTCTGCCCTTTCCAACCACATCACTGTAGGAAACACCTGTAGACAGCAGGAAGCTAGAGGAATTAAAAATATCTGCTTCATCCCCGAAAATAAAAGGAGAGAGGAAAATAGGCTCTATTCTTCCCGGGAAAACAAAGCCATATCTGGTCGCGCCATTTCCTCTCTGCAGAGCCCTGCCCTTCTGAGCCCCTCCTGCAGCAGATGCGGGGCTGGACCAAGCTTCAGCGAGATGCCCCAGGTTGGCGGGGAGCAGGTTTCAAAGTC